ATTATTGATCTACCTATAACATCTGGCTTACTTCTCCGGGGCAAGAGTCTAAACTGCCACCACCCTCCTAAGCAAGAGGTTAAACTGCCATTTTCGCCTCAAATTCTTTGCCGTGCGCTGGACTGCCGACAGAGACAACGACGCCTGTGCGCTTGCGTCTGCGCAGGGTGTCTGGGCCGCTGTCGGCAGGTCAGTCCACCTCGCGTGCTTCCTGGCCAGTTCTACCCCATGGCTTGGTGGCGGTCCGTCGGCATTGGCACCGGGGACCGGCGTCACTTCGTGCCGCTTCGTGCCTCGGTGTCTGGGCTGGCGGCCCGCCGCCAGCCAATGGGATCTACTCCATTTTAGATATTAGTTAGTATTAAGTTAGATTTAGGTATAATTAGTTGCTGTTCATTTTTCCCTGTGGCTTGCCACTCTCCCCACCTTTTCTTTAGGCATGTGCAAAGGTATTAGGTACTTTGCAGCACAACGTATTGTGCGTCGTTGAAGAGGGGGCTCAGGTTGTGGTGGACGGCTGGTCTGTCTGCCACGGCCTCTGCGCCGCTCCTGCCTTTCCTTTGTCCTCCCGTCCCTTCCTCTTAACACACAAAGGCATGTGCCTGCTCCCTAACGTAAATTCTTACAACATTGAAAATCTTTTATTAATCAAAAAACAGATTCAACGTTAACCATTTAATTCAAGAAAACCATTCATTTGATAATAATTTCATAATTTTGCATGTTGAAAATAAGGGTACGAAGTTAAATTTACTGGAATCTTTGGAAATTAATAAATTAAAAAAATCTGATATTATTCTAAATGACCAAATAGAAACTAATAATTCCCCCCTGTTAAATTTATTCTAATGTTATATAAGATAGAAAATCCCCAAAATTATTTTATTACAACTTTTGTTATACTTCGACAGGTAAAATAATTATACAGTACTAATATTTTATAAAAAAAAACCATTACCTGCAATAATTGTGTTATATAAGTTCGTTATTAGATAAAGTTTTAAATCATTTCTGAAGAAGCTACAGTGTTAGCGAAACAATTGTCAAATAAAATTTAAATAAATATGTGAAACTCAAAAACAGTGTTTGTTTTTTATCCAGTTATATATTAATCAAGTATGATAACTTATACTTATTTCTTTAAAATAAATGATATAAACAAATAACTATACTATACTATAGTATACTATATATTAGGGTGTTTCAAAAAAATCGACTTTTTCTTTTTCTTCAAATGGTCAGCAAATTCTTTCAGAGGATGTCAAAACAAAGACCTCGTTAAAATTTGAGCTTTTAATTTGAAGATTTAGAGGTCGCGGATCGCAATTTTCTATTTCCCATTTAAATAACATAGGAAATTATTTTTTTTAACTTTGGAATTTTATACGTCTTTATCGAATCAACTTATGGCAAGGAACATCTCAGATTTTTATAGTAAATTTAACGCTCTATAAAAAATGTCTCTTATAATTTTTCTATAAATTGATTTCTTCCAGAGTTATTCGAGGCCAAAGTTTGATTTCCATCGAATTTTCTCGTTTTTTTCAACTTTTAGAATCATGTAGTAAAAAAATCACATATTTATATCTGAAACATAGGAAGTGTTGTAAAAAAAACAAAAAAACGTCACTTTTTTCCAAAGCCTACTACAAAGTTTTAATGAAAATATGAGATGTGTATAATATGCACAGTAATTTATTTATAAATGCATTTTTCTCGAAAATGGTGCATCTGAGAAATTCAAATCAAGAGTACCTATTTTTCGTAAAAAAACTATAAATTCTCATAATTTCATAAAAAAAATTAAATTATTAACCCAGAAAAAAGTTGGGGCTATTTTTGTAACTTTGCCCCCTTCAAATGTTACGCCTATGATTAAATTTTAACAGTTTTGATTATAGATCTAGATTCAGCATGTCAAAATTACCAAAGTACCGAAAATTCATTTGTTCATGTTTAACCCTCTAGGAATAGTTTTAAAAAAATTATCCTCTTAGGCTCCTATTCAGGGGGCCGTAGCTTCTTTAGGGAGCATTTTTTGATACATGTTTATTAAACAAAAAAAGTGTTATTTTTACACTGTTTAAGTTTGGCCCCCTGATTTCGGGACACCCGTATAATGATAATTGTACCATAAATGTTAAAAAAACGCGAAAATTCGATGGAAATCAAACTTTGGCCTCGAATAACTCTGGAAGGAATCAATTTATAGAAAAATGATAGGAGACCTTTTTTGTAGAGCGTTAAATTTACTATAAAAATCTAAGATGATCCTTGACATAAGTTGATTCGATTCAGACGTATAAAATTTCAAAGTTAAAAAAAAAAATTCCCATGTTATTTAAATGGGAAATAGAAAATTGCGATCCGCGACCTCGAAATTTTGACGAGGTCTTTGTGTTGACATCCTCTGAAAGAATTTGCCGACCATTTGAAGAAAAAGAAAAAGTCGATTTTTTTGAAACACCCTACTATATATATATATATATATATATATATATATATATGCTTTAACGAACTTGGTAATTTAAGCCAATCAGAAGGCTGAACGCCAATAAGTGGATTTGGGTCAAACGCCGGTACACGAAAGGTCACGACGGCGCGCCGGATTTCTATCTTTATCAACTTTCTCTCTTCTGTTTTATTATCTTACAATGGTAAATTCTTTTTACCAACTCACCTGAATTAATAAACATTAGAGCCTAATAGCACCGTTGAATATAAGAAACGAAAGTGTCTGCCTAAATGTACATAAGTGAATTATTTGGTTTTGCTAAGCTGTGTAATTATGGTCAACTAGAAGATGAGCTTATAGGGGATAGACTAATGGAATCCAGGACGGGAAACTCTCAGAAAATCTACAGATGGACAGTGGGTTAACATTGGATAAAGCTATCTCGAAAAGCTACACAGGCTAAAGGAATCAAAATAGAAAACAAAGCGCTGAGGTCTAGTAAAACTAAGTCTGTGGAAAGGGTTACAATAAAAAGAAGTCACAGACAACAGATAGGATGACGGAACATCAGTCTTGGAAAAATTAGGGAAAATACAAGTTAAGTAAAAGCAACAAGGGCAATAAACAAAAGTATTCAAGATGTGGTCGAGGGTATTATCACTAGTCAAATTGCCTTGGAAAGTGTCACATACACTATTACTCTAGATGCTTCCAGTCCAAGCAGTATAATGTAGTCGATAAACAACATTGCTCGGGCATAAGAAAGGACCTAACAGGAATCTAAATGTCCATGGACAGATAGTCTCTTTAATTACAGATGAAGAGAAGTTTACAGATAAAATACATAAAAAATGAAATATGCTCAGATCGAGGAGGCATTGGCGATTACCGTGGGCATGCGATATAGAGAGAGAGCAATTTACATTTGGTTCTACATTTTTTGAATTGACAGATCACAAACTTTCGTTCTTTTAAGAAGAAAATAAATTAAGGTTTTGAAATCGACTACAAATGTTTAAGATGAGACTATTAAAGTTCGCATTAAGCAGGGCACCCTTAAAGCAAGAACAAAGTTGTAATCGTAATATAAAGAGACGTTTATATTAATTCCCTTATTTTGGAGGTTGATACAGAGTTAATGTCAATCAAGAATATGGAACTTTGTCAAAAGTAGGACTTAATTATGAAAACATTAAAGGAGTTCTTAGCTCGTAAAAGGAAAATGTTATATTCCCTTTCGAAAATATTATCATTACAAAGATTATTTAAAGATCGTTGAGAACTTATTGTGCTACAAATATGGAATCGCGGTAGCAAGATAAATTTGAATACAGTGCTTGAATAGAAATCATGAGGGCCAAATGGGGATAAACAAGTGCCTAGAGCGAGGTAAAGGAACCATATTATGGTGGCCGAAAATAAAAAGAATGCAAACATGCTTGAAACATCTGAAACCCCCTGTAGAACCAATGTTACCAACAGAGGTACGAAACGACCATGGAAAGTAATCGGAGCAGATTTTGCAACATGCACGGAAAAACATTTTTGGTCATTCGGGACTATTACTCAATATCCAGGAGGTTCGGAAGACGAAATTAATAGGTGAGTACACGATAACATTTTTTAAAGATGTAATTTTTGAAATGATAAGAAGCATCAACGGAAGACAGTTTGATTGCTATGAATATAGAAGATTCGCAAAAAAATTATTGAGTTTAGATTGGCATCAAGTATTCCACAGTATCAGCAGTCGAATGGCTTATGAGAGGGTGTAGGTAAACTACTCAAAACAATACTACAAAAGAATGCAGACCAGTACTTGGGGTTCTTAAGCAACAGAAACACAAGCTTAAGCTTAATTGTGGTGCTTTCCCAGAACAACTGTTTTTTGTGAGAAACCTGAATGAACATTCCAATATTACAGATTAGACATGCCCCACCCCCTTTCTTTACACATTGTGTAATCTGCACCACAGCCTGGGAAGCGTGTTACCTGAGACACGGAGTTCTACAGTAGAGCCAAGGACAGTGCAAACAAGGTAGTCGACTTCTTAAAATCAGACACGCACAAAAACGTGCCGTGGGCGTGGTTTAGCCACACTCAATTTTTTACCGGAAATCTATACATCACGTTTTTTCAACGGACTATCCTGTCTAAGTATCCTTGCGACAGTGATGACAGCGCACGCGCAATTTGATGTATTCGTTACAAATTATAGTTATTCTTAACCGTTTTTATTCGTTAATACAGTTATATTTAAAGGTTCCCACGACATAAAATAAATAAAAAGTTAATTTATTTTAAATAAACTTATAGAATGTAGGTACATTTTTATAATTAGAATTTAAAAAATCGTGGTTACGGAGATTACGGTGATTATAATATTAGTTTTTTTCAGTAAAAAAAGGCTTATATAAGAATAAGTAATGATATAAACTGTTATAATAACTGTTATTATTATTGTCTTTTTATATAAATTTATATACAATAGTAAAATAAATAAAATATTTCTTAAAATTTTTGTATACAAATAGATGGTAAAAATTAATTTCCAAACTCCAAAATATTTAATAAATCTTTGGTAAAAGTAAACAGTTTCTCTTGAAGTTCCTGGGATTTTGCTAACTGACATGTTTCGAATATTTCGCAGTTGTGAATATAGGTCCCACCTTTTCCTTCTAGTTCTTTTGAAACACAAGCATATACAATTGGAATAGCTCCTTGTTTGGGTGTCTAAAAGTTTATTTATAATGTTAGTTGTGTTGTTCCATTATTTTAATGTTCCACTTACTTTAAATAAAAGATTTGGTATCCAAGGGGCTTTGTTTTTTAATAAGGTTCCATCAAATAATTCTGTGTTAACAACTCCTGGGTGTACAGAGTGGGACTGCACAAACGATTTTTCTTTCTTCATTGTTTCATTTAAATAATTGGAAAATAAAAGTTGTGCAAGTTTAGATTGCGCATACGCTTCACCAGCTATATACTGTTTTCTATTATTAATATCTTCAAATTTAATATCCCCAATATGGTGAGCACAGGATGATACGTTAACTATTCTTGAAAAATCATTTTTTTCTCCTGCAGCTTTAATATTGGGAAGTAGTAGGTGTATTAATAAAAAGTGACCTAGATAATTTGTTGAGAATTGTGATTCGAACCCATCCTTCGTTTCTATATAAGGCCCAAACATAATGCCTGCTAAAAATTTCGTTTAATGTAAAGGGGGAAATTCTAAGAATAAAAAATTACAAATTTGAGTTATCAAGCACTTAGGTTTCAAAAACTCGACAATGCTGTGTTTTCTCAAGCCGATTTATAATTATTTAAAAATTGTGATTATGGAAACAAAATATACAAGTAAACTAATAAATTAGGGGTCAAAATTCTGTCTAATATCAAACCCAGCAAACTCCATTAAAGGAACATTTTTAGAAATTAAAAAATACGCTATTAAAGCATTCCCCATTTAAAAAAGAGTACTTAGTAATATGGGCAATATAACATGGCATGATATTATTACTCAACTATTTTAACTGGACTGGATTTTCACGAAAATTTTGATAAATTTGATGAAATAACAGATGTATTTTCTGACATTTGCATCCAGTTATGATTATTCACTCTGCTTTTAGTAAATTTAGTAAAGTGTTTACGTTTATAACGTGTTAAAAATACCTAGTATATTATTATTAATCAAATTCTATAAGAAAAGTTTACCGATCGGCAATAATGTTTGAAGACTGAGCGTAGCGAAGTCGCCAATATTGGAGAATATCGGTTAAATCCTTACTATTTAAGATAATTATACTATTTTTTGTACGAACATTATACCTACGCAGGCATTTAATACAAATTTCTTGAGTAATTTTATTTTTTGTCATGTTGTTAAACTTAATATTTTACTAATAAAAAACTATAAGTAATTCTGAGATTAGAAATTAAACGAAAAAGTTCTGTGGGCATATTTGGTCCAAAAAAATGCAAAAAATGAGGGATTGTGCACACAGTGCAAAAACTGGGCAAAATTCAAATAGAGAGCGAATTTATTTTAAAATAAATACCTTTATGTTTTTTGGGTCCGAGTAGTAATAAAATGATTCAGAACAAGATGATTACCACAAAATTGCTGTTTGTTTTTTCTTAAAAATAACGTTGCACCCGTAAAAATGAGTGTTAGTGTTTTCGGAGGTCAAGTTATACAAATTCAAGGTTACAAAATAAAAATAAACATTTTATTTATATATTTAATTTAATATCAAATTAATTTTCGCAAATGGAATCTTCATTTATAACTACATCGACATCACCCGGATATTCCACATCAAGCACGTCATCATTGTACTATGCTCGACACCTCAAAGTCCCACCACGTGACTACGTACGGAACGCAGTCTTTTGAAAATTTGGCATTTAAGGTCATCTATGCTTTTCAGGTTATGTATCTGTCAAAGTATAGTCAATGAAAGAAATTATATTATGTTTAGGCGTTAAAAATTTATAAATCTTTATAACATTACAAGAACAATGATTAGTTTAAGAATTTAGGAATATAAATACTGCATTTAATGAAATTCTAAAGTGTATGGTGCCAAATAAGTAATATTTTTGTGCATTTGGTCTAAATATCTGGTTTTCTCCATAAAATAATTTTAACTAAACAGCATTTATTTAAAAAAATCTAGCTTCTCTATTAGGTAATTTTAAGGTTAGAAAAATATATTTTGACCAAAATAAATAAGTGTTTTGGATAATTGGAAAGACTGTGTAATATGGTATTACTTCTTCTTTAAAAATGTGGTAGTTTTTTAATCCAGCTCAAAGTGTACGTATATGTATACATTAGGGTGTTTCAAAAAAATCGACTTTTTCTTTTTCTTCAAATGGTCAGCAAATTCTTTTAGAGGATGTCAAAACAAAGACCTCGTTAAAATTTGAGCTTTTAATTTAAAGATTTAGAGGTCGCGGATCGCAATTTTCTATTTCCCATTTAAATAACATAGGAAATTTTTTGTTTTAACTTTGGAATTTTATACGTCTATATCGAATCAACTTATGGCAAGGGACATCTTATATTTTTATAGTAAATTTAACGCTCTATAAAAAATGTTTCTTATAATTTTTCTATAAATTGATTTCTTCCAGAGTTATTCGAGGCCAAAGTTTGATTTCCATCGAATTTTCTCGTTTTTTCAACTTTTAGCATAATGTAGTAAAAAAATCACATATTTATATCTGAAACATAGGAAGTGTTGTAAAAAAACAAAAAAACAAAAAAAAACGTCACTTTTTTCCAAAGCCTACTACAAAGTTTTAATGAAAATATGAGATGTGTATAATATGCAGAGTAATTTATATATAAATGCATTTTTCTCGAAAATGGTGCATCTGAGCAATTCAAATCAAGAGTACCTATTTTTCGTAAAAAACTATAAATTCTCATAATTTCATAAAAAAAATTAAATTATTAACCCAGAAAAAAGTTGGGGCTATTTTTGTAACTTTGCCCCCTCCAAATGTTACGCCTATGATTAGATTTTAACAGTTTTGATCGTAGATCTAGATTCAGCATGTCAAAATTCGAAAAGTACCGAAAATTCATTTGTTCATGTTCAACCCTCTAGGAATAGTTTTAAAAAAATTATCCTCTTAGGTTCCTATTCAGGGGGCCGTAGCTCCTTTAGGGAGCATTTTTTGATACATGTTTATTAAACAAAAAAGTGTTATTTTTATACGAATAATGCACTGTTTAAGTTTGGCCCCCCTAATTTCGGTTTGGCCCCGTATAATGATAATTGTACCATAAATGTTAAAAAAACGCGAAAATTCGATGGAAATCAAACTTTGGCCTCGAATAACTCTGGAAGGAATCAATTTATAGAAAAATGATAAGAGACCTTTTTTGTAGAGCGTTAAATTTACTATAAAAATCTAAGATGATCCTTGACATAAGTTGATTCGATTCAGACGTATAAAATTTTAAAGTTAAAAAAAAAAATTCCCATGTTATTTAAATGGGAAATAGAAAATTGCGATCCGAGACCTCTAAATCTTCAAATTAAAAGCTCAAATTTTGACAAGGTCTTTGTGTTGACATCCTCTGAAAGAATTTGCCGACCATTTGAAGAAAAAGAAAAAGTCGATTTTTTTGAAACACCCTAGTATACATAAAGATTTGTCAATACAAGTAGGTATAAAGCTTCGACTGAATTTGATGTTCATCGAAATATCATTATAACTTTAAAAAAATTAATAAATCACATGTCAAAGGAGTATTAAATATTTTCACATTGCAAGTTTCTCTAAAAATTGTTTGTTTTCTTATAAACTAACTTAAAGTAGGTTTGCCGAGAGGTATGCACAAATCTTGTTGTTAGAAGTATAAAAGCTTCAATTTAATTTGATCCATATTCAACAATTATTTAGTATACCTATATTTATATACCATATTAACACACTCGTCCAAATAATCCACTTATTTATTTTGGTGAAAATAGATTTTTCTCACCTTCAGTCAGGTTCCAGCACTTGACAAGGCCTCATTGTAGCAGCGAGAGCTCTTAAAACGTAAAAGTTTAAAGTTTAAAGTTTAAAACCAACAAATAATTTCTCAAAAGTGCAAACCAATTATAATGAAACAACTACAGTGAGTATAAACTACCCTACGGCCAAGAATGAGTAAAGAGTTAAGTGATAAGAAAGAGTTAAGTGACAAGCGAGCTTCTGGGCGGTCATTCCACCCCTCAACTGGACGCTTTTCACTTGACAAACAAAAGAGAACCTAACCAAGAAACAATTTTCATAAAGTGGAAACTAAAATGGTGTTACAATCAATAAAGAGTGAAGTGTTAAGTGATAAGAAAGATTTAAGTAACAAGTTTCAGCTTCTGGGTGGTCCTACCACCTGTCATTGGACGCTTTTCACTAGACAAACAAAAGAGGTCAAACAAGAGGGGAAGTGGCCATCCGCAAAAATTATTAAGTATTCTCAAGCATATGCATGACCAACACATAATTTGCAAAATTAAACACGACAGATACCTTTAAAACCCTAAGAAAGGCACACCGCTTAAATTCTAGAAAAAAAACAATAAACATCAGTAACAATAGAAACATTAGAAAGACAATACTAACCAAAGACCATAAAATAATAAAGAAAAAAGACAAACAACAAAAAACAAAACTTCCCAATCGAACTTTTGCGGTGATACACCAAAGCTGAGTAGGACAATAAATCTGTTCAACAACAAATGCGTAAGGCATGAAACCCAGTAACTAAAGAACGGCCCCAATAAAACAACGTTAATTTTAACCCAAACGAGGCCAATAATAAACATTTGACACTTAGAATATAAACTACCACTAAATAAGTCATGAAAACCAAACATAGTAAAAACAGCATAATAATGAAACTCTATTGGTTTTATAAACATATTAGATTATAACAGAAAAATTGCAAATCTCAAATGTTTGGAGTAATAATAACTGCCTGGTCTAGGGGGGTACCGCGTCGTACTTAGATTTGAGTCGGCGTAATTGTCCCCCAAACACTAAAATATCTATCCCTCCCGTCCTACCTCCTGGGCGTATAGCATCAGCTCGGCGAACCCGGGAATGGCTACTAAAACTATTGCCATTTCGCTCTCGAGCAATAATTAGGGGACAGTATGGGACGCAATGAACATTCGCAACCAGCAAACACGGGTGAAGCCGCGCCGTTGCTGGTAGCAAAAGAAAATCGGCGCAAGGAAACAGAGGCCTATGCGGGGTCCGGGAGCGATGAGGCAATGGGGCCGGTTATACGTCTATTATACTCATATATCACCTTAAAATACAAAATTAGATGATATTTTTTGTTATAATACATTCACCTCCCTTTGATACAGATATTCTTATTCCATAATAGAGAACTTTTTTTTAAATAAATGCCGCTTAGTTATAACTATTTTATGGAGATATGTAGACCAAATGCCCAAAAATATTACTTATTTGGCACGATACACTTTAGAATTTCATTAAATGCAGTATTTATTCTTAAACCAACCATTGTTAATGTGATACTATAAAGATTTATTAACTTTTAACGCTTAAACATAAGCGGTAACAGTATATATATTATTTTTTTCATTGACTATACGTTGATAGATACATAACCTGAAAAGCTTTAAATGCCAAATTTTCAAAAGACTGCGTTCCATACG